TTGGGGTTGGAGCCTAGAGAACTGTCGGAGCGAGGGGCTCGTATAGTCTCCAAAGGTAAGAAGCCTCATTTCGCTCTCAGTGTCAGAACCGGCAGCTTAGTCATCGCTGACAGAATAGACAGAGAAGAGCTCTGTGCCCAGAGTGCCCAGTGCATGATATATTTTAATGTTCTCGTTGAGGATAAACTGAAAATCTATTCAGTAGAGGTGGAAATAACCGACATCAATGATAACGCCCCACACTTTTTAGCAGAGGAACTAGAACTAAAAATCAGTGAAATCACATCTCCAGGAACCCATCATCTCCTGGAAAGTGCGTATGACCGGGATGTGGGGGTGAATTCTCTCCAGGGTTATGAACTAAGCCCCAACCATCACTTCTCTCTGAGAGTGCAAAGGGGAGATGATGGAGTGAAGTATCCAGAGCTGGTGCTGGAGCAGGCCCTGGACCGGGAGAAGGAACCAGATCTCCATATTGTACTCACAGCATGGGATGGAGGAGAACCAGTCCGTTCTGGCACTGCTAGAATCCGAGTGATTGTCTTGGATGCCAATGATAATGCCCCAGTGTTTACTCAGTCCATGTATACTGTCAGTGTTCCTGAGAATGTACCCCAGGGGACAGTGCTGCTCACAGTGAATGCCACTGATGCAGATGAAGGAATCAATTCTCAGGTAAGATACTTTCAAGTGAAAATGCCTGGAAAGATGTCACAAATATTCCAACTGAATTCTGTGACTGGAGAATTATCAACCTTACAAAATCTAGATTATGAAGTTGCAGGATTCTATGTGATACAAGCAGAAGCTAAAGATGGCCTTGGCCTCAAGAGCAGAGCTAAAATTCATGTCACAGTTCTAGACGTGAATGATAATGTCCCAGAAGTGACTATTACTTCTGTCACCAATTCAATCCTAGAAAATGCTCCCTCCAGGACTGTAATTGCCTTGTTCTATGTGTATGACAGAGATTCTGGTGAAAATGGTCGAGTCTTGTGCTCCATCCCGGATGATCTGCCTTTTAAATTAGAAAAGAAGGTGGACAATTATCATTCACTGGTGACAGATAGGGCTCTGGACAGGGAGCAGGTGTTTGAGTACAACATCACTGTGAGAGCAGTAGACTTTGGGAGCCCAGCTCTGTCTACAGACACTCATATCCTTTTGCATGTGGCAGACATCAATGACAACCCACCCATTTTCAGTCAGGCAGCCTACTCTGCCTACATCCGGGAGAATAACCCCAGAGGAGCTTCCATCTACTCCTTGAGTGCCCATGATCCAGACAGTGAGCAGAATGCCTTAGTCACCTACTCCATCATGGACAGCACCCTGCCCTCAGAGGCACCACCACTGTCATCCATAGTGTCCATCAACTCAGAGACTGGTGTCCTCTATGCTCTGTGCTCCTTTGACTATGAACAGTTCCGGGAATTTCAGCTGAGAGTGACAGCCAGGGACTCTGGGGACCCTCCTCTCAGCACCAACGTGTCTCTGACTCTGTTTGTCCTGGATCAGAATGACAATGCCCCAGAAATCCTGTACCCAGCCTTCCCCACGGATGGCTCCAGTGGAGTGGAGCTGGCCCCACGCTCGGCAGAGCCAGGCTACCTGGTGACCAAGGTGGTGGCAGTGGATGCAGACTCTGGCCAGAATGCCTGGCTGTCCTACCGCCTGCTCAAGGCCACAGAGCCTGGACTCTTCTCCGTGGGTCTGCACTCAGGGGAGATTAGGACTGTCCGGACATTCCTGGACAAAGATGCCCTCAAACAGAATCTCATAGTGGTAGTGACAGACAATGGGGAACCCCCTCTCTCTGCCACCATCAGTGTCACTGTGGCAGTGGCTGACAGCATCCCCGAGATCCTCTCAGATCTCAGCAGCCAGACTTTCCCTGATCCCCAAGATGACTCTCTCCTCACGTTTTACTTGGTCATAGCAGTGGCTGTGGTTTCCTGCTTGTTCTTTGCCTTCATCGTCCTTCTGCTGGCTCTCAGACTGAGAAAATGGTGGATGCTGCAAGTTGTGCAGTCTGCAGGTGACCATGTGGGGGGAGTCTCCTCCTCTCAGTTTTTGGGAATAGATGGAGTGAGAGCTTTCCTTCAGACCTATTCCCATGAGGTTTCTCTCACCACGGATTCTCGGAAGAGTCAGTTGATCTTTCCTCAGCCCAACTATGCAGACACCGTGATAAGTCAGCAGAGCTGTGAGCAAAAGGAGTCTCCATTACCTACTCAGTATTTACTTCAAGGAAAAGATGAAGAAGCATTTTTCCAGGTAAACTTCATTCCATAGAAAAGAATTGCAAATTAATTTTCTGGGACTCATGTTTACAAGAGACTTTTCTGTCTCTACCATTCACTAGAGAGTCCTATTTCATTTTCTAACTATTGTTACTAGGAGGTTATGGTCCTAGAAAAATTTAATTCTAGCGAAACTATCATAAAATATAGAACTTGATGATACTATTGGAGATCATCCATACAACAACCCAAATTTTAAGGAATAAAAACTAATATCCCGAAAGTTCAAATTATTTACCTAAGGTCATAGTAGTGACTAAGGAGAGTTAGTTCTCTTTTAAAAATTGTTCCCCTGAGTTCAGATACAGAACCCTTTTTGTGATCAAAAATTTAATGGATTACAGATTCGAGTTGTCAAACTCCTTTGAAGTTTTACACATTTGTGTATATGTACATACACACACATATGAATCTGCTATCAAGATGGGTTTTCAAATCAATATTCTAAATCTGGGTGGGGAACCTGTGGCCTGAAGACCACATGTGGCTGTTAGTTTCCCATGTATGACTCTTTGACTTAATCCAAACTTCATAGAACACATCCCTTTTATAAAAGGATTTGTTCTGTAAAACTTGGACTTGTTCAAAAGACAGAATCTAAGGACCTAGAAGGCTATATATGGCCTCAAGACCAGAGGTTCCCCACCCCTGATCTAAATGTTGTTATAATAGCTAAAATATAAAGACATAAGACTTCCATTTATTTAAAGTAGGTGAAATGAGTGGATTGTTTTGTCGTTTTGCATTTTTAATTTTTTTTTTTGCCGAATGTTGAGGTGTATAGTATGACTGGATTTCCTGTGTATTTTGTTGGATGAGAGAGAGTGATACAAGAAATAGAGGAAAGATCCTTCATAATATTTTCAGTATAAACTTTCCTCTTAATGCTTTGTCAATGTCTATGTTAGTAAATATTGACTTCCAGTTTTTGTATGCAGGCCTAATTTAGTTATAATTCACTTTATTTGAAGGCTTTGGGTCTCTTTGAGCCCATGAATAGTTATTTTTAGTAGTAATTAGACATTTAAGTAAAAGTTCAACACCTTTTAATGTCTAACACTTTCTGGAGACCATTACTTTAATGCCTTATGATGAGTTGTATTTCTATTTCTACCATCTGAGGATCAGCCTAGGCAAATATGAAGAGATTCATTACATCATTTCCTTTAGGGTATGAAACGTTGATCCCAGAAATTCTCAAAGATCATAAACTAAAAGAAGTATCAAATCATTGGAATACTGAAGAACATTTTCATGTTTAACTACTTTGTCTTGATAGTCAATATTGCTTTTGATTTCTTTTTCATTTCTAAAAATGATGTTATATTTTGTCAACTTTACACTGAAGAACACAGGTTACTCTAAATTGTGGCATCATAATCTTCCTGCTCCAGTTTGTTACAGTTTCTCTGTAAACTGCTTAAACTTAGCTGCAGGGCAGTACAAGGCTTAGGGTATGACATCATCAAGAGACCGGGGGTCTGATGATCAGGGGATAACAACAACAGCTGCCATTTATATAAGTGAAATAAGGTTGGCAAAGTGCTTCATAGCCATCATCTCATCTGAGACTTACAAACCTTTGGTTGTAACTAATTGCTGTTTATTACCTGCTGTCATCACTACATTTTTCACATTTCTGTGTTAGATTGTTTGGCAGGACATTTAGGAATGTAGCAACTAACTTCAGTGATGCTAACTATATTGAACTGCAAGGCTTCAATCATATGAATCATATACTGTATTTAATCCCTGATATAATTTATTATTGAGTACAAATGTGTACCATGTCACACTGACACTTAATATATGGATGATGTATTCAGGTTGTTGCTACTGCTGCTTGCTGTTTGTCCCTCATTCTCAAAGAGGACCATGAAGTCAGGGAGGTGACACCATAACATGCAAGTGAATTGGATTTCAGTGAGGGAAAGTTGCGCAAAATCACCAGCTCCTCCAGAGCCATCTGGGTCCAGTGGCAAAATATAGATCAGGGCAACTGGAGATGGTCCCAGATGCATTCGGGGACATTGGCTTTTTCAAGCTAAGGTCTTCAACAGGTCTCAATTTGACTGCTGCTGCGCCCACTCATAAATTAAGGCTTAATAACAAGTGAGGCTAAGAATGGCCTCATTAAAAAAATAGATCTGGGAGGGGAAGAACTCCAGGATTTTGGCCAAAACTGAAACAATTGCTATTTCCATTCATTCTGAGCCGGTTAGGACCAAACAATGACCGTATTGTCTTGCTCTCGTTGATTGGCCAATATTCAGGTAAACATACAAAAAAATATGGGTATCGCTAAACATATGCATAAATATTGACATATACATTGAGATGAAGAGAATCAATATATTTATTCTATAAATGGAAAAAGCACATCATCAACAAAAAAGAAGTATTTATATTCTAATGAACATTTACAAAGTTATTATCACCCAGCTGAGTTATAATTTATTTAGCTTAATAGAAAAGGAAGATAAAAATAACAGAACTGAGAATAAAAACTTTATAAAAATCGACAGTAAAGAATGATATTCCTACCAACTGTGATTCTTCATATGATCCTATGAACTTATGATCCAAAATACCTCCAATTCTATGACTTTTTAAAAAATTTCTTTCATTATAACAACAATTCATATATTACACCATTCAAAACATTGTCTTAGAGGGGATGCAATAATTGATTTAAACTCTGGGAGCCGCTGTTCACCAATCAGGAACAGAAATGCTGGGAGAGAGCAAGTCTAATTCTCCCAGGTCCTAGTGCACAAAGCTCAGGAAGACCAAACCCACACACACGCTCCAGGATACGGAGAAACGGAGCCCCCTAACCCTGCAGGCTCCAGACTTGGGCTCTGGACAACAACAACTAGGAAAACAGAGGAGCCACGAGCTACCTACAGACAGCAAGGAGTGTATTCCGAAGAGAAGCAATGGTCACTGGGCAAAAACACAGCGACGGCAGAAGGCGAATCCTGCTTTGTTCTCTCCTGGGACTGCTGTGGGACACCGTGGCCACCCAAATCCGCTACTCGATTCCCGAGGAGATGGAGAAGGGCTCTTTCGTGGGCAACATCGCCCAGGACCTGGGACTGGAACTGAAGGAATTGCCTGAGCGCGGAGCCCGCATTGTCTCCAAAGGTAAGAAGCTGTATTTCGCTCTCAGTGTCAGAAGCGGTAGCTTAGTCACTGCGGACAGAATAGACAGGGAAGAGCTCTGTGCACAGAGCGCCCAGTGCCTACTAAATTTTAATGTTCTGGTTGAAGATAAATTGAAAATTTATTCAGTGGAAGTGGAAATAACCGACATTAATGATAACGCCCCTCGCTTTCGGGAAGAAGAGCTAGAACTAAAAATCAGTGAAACCACAGCTCCAGGAACCCAGTTTATTCTAGAAAGTGCTTATGATCCAGATGTGGGAGTGAATTCCCTCCAGGGTTATAAGCTGAGCCCCAATGATCACTTCTCTCTGCTTGTGCAAAGTGGAGGTGATGGGATCAAGTACCCAGAACTGGTACTGGAGAGGTCCCTGGACCGGGAGGAAGAGCCTACTCTCCACATAGTTCTCTCAGCCAGAGATGGAGGATATCCTGTCCTTTCTGGCACTGTTCGAATCCGAGTGACTGTCCTGGATGTAAATGACAACGCTCCCATATTTACTCAGCCTGTGTATACCGTCAGTGTTCCAGAGAACGTGTCCCAGGGGACAGTGCTGCTCACAGTAAACGCCACTGATGCAGATGAAGAAAGCAACTCCCAGATAAGATATTTTCTAGTGAAAATTCCTGGGAAAATCTCACAAATATTCCAACTGAATTCTGTGACTGGAGAATTATTAACCTTACAAAATCTAGATTATGAAGATGCAGAATTCTATAAGATAGAAGTAGAGGCTCAAGATGGTCTTGGTTTTTGGGGCAGAGCTAAAATTCATGTCACAGTTCTAGACGTGAATGACAATGCCCCAGAAGTGACTATCACATCTGTCAGCAACACAATCCCTGAAAATGCTCTCCCTGGGACTGTAATTGCTCTGTTCCATGTGCACGATAGAGACTCTGGTGAAAATGGTCTAGTCTTGTGTTCCATCCCAGATAAACTGCCTTTTAAATTAGAAAAGAAGGTGGACAACTACTATTCACTGGTGACTGACAGGACTCTGGACAGGGAGCAGGTGTCTGAGTACAACATCACAGTGAGAGCAGTAGACTTTGGGAGCCCAGCTCTGTCTACAGACACTCATATCCTTTTGCATGTGGCAGACATCAATGACAACCCACCCACTTTCAGTCAGGCTGTGTACTCTGCCTACATCCAGGAGAACAACCCCAGAGGAGCTTCCATCTACTCCTTGAGTGCCCATGATCCAGACAGTGAGCAGAATGCCTTAGTCACCTACTCCATCATGGACAGCACCCTGCCCTCAGAGGCACCACCACTTTCATCCATTGTGTCCATCAACTCAGAGACTGGTGTCCTCTATGCTCTGTGCTCCTTCGACTATGAACAGTTCCAGGAATTTCAGCTGAGAGTGACAGCCAGAGATTCTGGGGACCCTCCTCTCAGCACCAATGTGTCCCTGACTCTGTTCATCCTGGATCAGAATGACAATGCCCCAGAAATCCTGTACCCAGCCTTCCCCACGGATGGCTCCAGTGGAGTGGAGCTGGCCCCACGCTCGGCAGAGCCAGGCTACCTGGTGACCAAGGTGGTGGCAGTGGATGCAGACTCTGGCCAGAATGCCTGGCTGTCCTACCGCCTGCTCAAGGCCACAGAGCCTGGACTCTTCTCCGTGGGTCTGCACTCAGGGGAGATCAGGACTGTCCGGACATTCCTGGACAAAGATGCCTCAAGCAGAATCTCATAGTGGTAGTGACAGATAATGGGGAACCCCCTCTCTCTGCCACCATCAGCGTCACTGTGGCAGTGGCTGACAGCATCCCCGAGATCCTCTCAGATCTCAGCAGCCAGACTTCCTCTGATCCCCAGGACGACTCTCTCCTCACATTTTACCTGGTCATAGCAGTGGCTGTGGTTTCCTGCTTGTTCTTTGCCTTCATCGTCCTTCTGCTGGCTCTCAGACTGAGAAGGTGGTGGATGCTGCAAGTTGCCCAGTCTGCAGGTGACCATGTGGGGGGAATCCCCTCCTCTCAGTTTTTGGGAATAGATGGAGTGAGAGCTTTCCTTCAGACCTATTCCCATGAGGTTTCTTTCACCACAGATTCTCGGAAGAGTCAGTTGATCTTTCCTCAGCCCAACTATGCAGACACCTTGATAAATCAGCAGAGCTGTGAGCAAAAGGAGTCTCCATTACCTACTCAGTCTTTACTTCAAGGTAAAGATGGACAAACACTTTTCCAGGTAAACTTTATTCTGTAGAATAGGATTACAAATTAATTTTCAGTACTCATGCAATTACTCTTCTGTCTCTACCACACTGGAGAGGTGTATCACATTTTCCAGTTATTCTGGCTAGGGATTTATGGTCTTAGAAGAATTTAACTTAGGAAAATATTATTAACATCATATAATACAGAACTTAAAGATGTTATAGAGATCAGCCAGACATCACGCATTTTAAGGAATGGAAACTAATACCCAGAAAGGCCAAATAATTTACCCAAGGTCATAGTGGTGATTAAGTTGAGTTGCTCTTCTTTAAGAATTGCTCCACTGAACTCAGATATGTAATCCTTTTTGTTATTAAAATGTTCGTGGATAACAGATTCAGATTGCCACACTCCATTGAATTTTTCACATATTTGTGTATGTGTCCACTCACAAACACACATATATTTATATGTGTGTGTATGAAGTTGCTACTAAGATGGGTTTTCAAATCAATACAGTCTAAATGTTTGTTGTAGTAGCTGAAATATAAATACTTAAAATCTAAACGTATTTAAAATAGGTGAAATGAGTGCGTCATCTCGTCGTTTTGCATTGAGAAAATTTTTTGAGGGATTTTGAGATGTATATTATGACTGGATTTCCTCTGTATGTTTTTTGGATGAGAGAAAGTGTCAAAAGTAGAATTAAGTTCTTTTGTTCTCTTAATATTTTTAATATAATTTTTCCTGTTATAGCTTTATAAATATCTATGTTCCTAAATGTCGACTTGGGAGATCTGCATGGGTGAACCTCAGGTTTTTGTGTGCAGGCCTAATTCAGTTGCGATTCACTTTATTTGAAGGCTTTCTCTCCTTGAGCCCATGAATAGTTTTTTTAGCAGTAATTGGACATTGAAGTAACAATTCAACACATTTTCATGTGTTACACTTTTTCAAGGGACCATCACTCAATCCCTTTTGATGAGTTGTGTTTCTATTTCTACTATCTGAGGGTCAGCCTAGACAAATGAAGGAGTTCATTATATCATTTTCTTTAGAATACGAAACTTTGATACCAGAAACTCTCAAAGATCATCAACTAAAAGAAATATCAAATCCTTAGAATACTGAACAACATTTCCATGTTCAATTGCTTTGTCTTGATAGTCAATGTTGCTTTTAATTTCTTTTTATTTTCAAAAAACAATATTACATTTTGTCAACTCTACATCAAAGAACACAGATTACTCTAAATTGTGGCACCATGACCTTCCTGCTCCGGTTTGTTATAGTTTGTCTGAAAGAATTGCTTAAACTCAGCTTCAGGGCAGTAGAAGGCTGAGGGAATGGCATCATCATCAAACTGGAGATCTGGTGACTGGAGGATAACAACAGCAACAATAGCTGGCATTTATGTAAGTGAATTAAGCTTTGCAAAGTGCTTCATAGCCATCATCTCATTTTAGACTTACAAATCCTTGGTTGTAGCAAATTCCTATTCATGATCTGTTACCATCATTACCTTTTTTCACATTTCTGCAGGAGGTTGTTTGGGAGAACATTTAAAAATGTAGCAACTTCAGTGATGCTAACTATGTTGAACAGCAAGCTTACAATCATATAATATATTTAATTACTGATTATACTTTAGCAAGCTATTGCACAATCCAAAAGCTAATAATTTGATGTCGACTACAAACTAGTATCATGTCACAATGAAGCCTAATGTATAGATAATATATTCAGGTAGACACACAGAGAAATACGGCCATTGTTAAACAAATGGATAAATATTGACATATACATTGAGATGAAGAGAATCAATATATTTGTTGTTCTATTGACAGAAAGGTAATATAATCAGCAAAAAAGAAGCCTTTATATTCTACAGAATGTTTACAAAGTTATTGTCACCTAGGTGAGTTATAATTTATCTTTCCCAATGAAGATAGCAGTAACAGAACCTGATGATAAAAACTTTATAAAAATTGATAGTAAAGAATGATATCCCTACCAACTGTGATTCTTTATATGATGCTATGAATCTATGATCCAAGATACCTCCAACTCTATGACTTTTTAAAAAATTTCTTTCATTATAACAACAATTCATATATTACACCATTCAAAACATTGTGTCTTAGAGGGGATGCAATAATTGATTTAAACTCTGGGAGCCGCTGTTCACCAATCAGGAACAGAAATGCTGGGAGAGAGCAAGTCTAATTCTCCCAGGTCCTAGTGCACAAAGCTCAGGAAGACCAAACCCACACACACACGCTCCAGGATACGGAGAAACGGAGCCCCCTAACCCTGCAGGCTCCAGACTTGGGCTCTGGACAACAACAACTAGGAAAACAGAGGAGCCACGAGCTACCTACAGACAGCAAGGAGTGTATTCCGAAGAGAAGCAATGGTCACTGGGCAAAAACACAGCGACGGCAGAAGGCGAATCCTGCTTTGTTCTCTCCTGGGACTGCTGTGGGACACCGTGGCCACCCAAATCCGCTACTCGATTCCCGAGGAGATGGAGAAGGGCTCTTTCGTGGGCAACATCGCCCAGGACCTGGGACTGGAACTGAAGGAATTGCCTGAGCGCGGAGCCCGCATTGTCTCCAGAGGTAAGAAGCTGTATTTCGCTCTCAGTGTCAGAAGCGGTAGCTTAGTCACTGCGGACAGAATAGACAGGGAAGAGCTCTGTGCACAGAGCGCCCAGTGCCTACTAAATTTTAATGTTCTGGTTGAAGATAAATTGAAAATTTATTCAGTGGAAGTGGAAATAACCGACATTAATGATAACGCCCCTCGCTTTCGGGAAGAAGAGCTAGAACTAAAAATCAGTGAAACCACAGCTCCAGGAACCCAGTTTATTCTAGAAAGTGCTTATGATCCGGATGTGGGAGTGAATTCCCTCCAGGGTTATAAGCTGAGCCCCAATGATCACTTCTCTCTGCTTGTGCAAAGTGGAGGTGATGGGATCAAGTACCCAGAACTGGTACTGGAGAGGTCCCTGGACCGGGAGGAAGAGCCTACTCTCCACGTAGTTCTCTCAGCCAGAGATGGAGGATATCCTGTCCTTTCTGGCACTGTTAGAATCCGAGTGACCGTCCTGGATGTAAATGACAATGCTCCCATATTTACTCAGCCTGTGTATACAGTCAGTGTTCCAGAGAACGTGTCCCAGGGGACAGTGCTGCTCACAGTAAACGCCACTGATGCAGATGAAGAAAGCAACTCTCAGATAAGATATTTTCTAGTGAAAATTCCTGGGAAAATCTCACAAATATTCCAACTGAATTCTGTGACTGGAGAATTATTAACCTTACAAAATCTAGATTATGAAGATGCAGAATTCTATAAGACAGAAGTAGAGGCTCAAGATGGTCTTGGTTTTTGGGGCAGAGCTAAAATTCATGTCACAGTTCTAGACGTGAATGACAATGCCCCAGAAGTGACTATCACATCTGTCAGCAACACAATCCCTGAAAATGCTCTCCCTGGGACTGTAATTGCTCTATTCTACGTCCATGATAGAGACTCTGGTGAAAATGGTCTAGTCTTGTGTTCCATCCCAGATAAACTGCCTTTTAAATTAGAAGAGAAGGTGGACAACTACTATTCACTGGTGACTGACAGGACTCTGGACAGGGAGCAGGTGTCTGAGTACAACATCACAGTGAGAGCAGTAGACTTTGGGAGCCCAGCTCTGTCTACAGACACTCATATCCTTTTGCATGTGGCAGACATCAATGACAACCCACCCACTTTCAGTCAGGCTGTGTACTCTGCCTACATCCAGGAGAACAACCCCAGAGGAGCTTCCATCTACTCCTTGAGTGCCCATGACCCAGACAGTGAGCAGAATGCCTTAGTCACCTACTCCATCATGGACAGCACCCTGCCCTCAGAGGCACCACCACTTTCATCCATTGTGTCCATCAACTCAGAGACTGGTGTCCTCTATGCTCTGTGCTCCTTCGACTATGAACAGTTCCAGGAATTTCAGCTGAGAGTGATAGCCAGAGATTCTGGGGACCCTCCTCTCAGCACCAATGTGTCCCTGACTCTGTTCATCCTGGATCAGAATGACAATGCCCCAGAAATCCTGTACCCAGCCTTCCCCACGGATGGCTCCAGTGGAGTGGAGCTGGCCCCACGCTCGGCAGAGCCAGGCTACCTGGTGACCAAGGTGGTGGCAGTGGATGCAGACTCTGGCCAGAATGCCTGGCTGTCCTACCGCCCTCAAGGCCACAGAGCCTGGACTCTTCTCCGTGGGTCTGCACTCAGGGGAGATCAGGACTGTCCGGACATTCCTGGACAAAGATGCCTCAAGCAGAATCTCATAGTGGTAGTGACAGATAATGGGGAACCCTCTCTCTGCCACCATCAGCGTCACTGTGGCAGTGGCTGACAGCATCCCCGAGATCCTCTCAGATCTCAGCATCCAGACTTTCCTCTGATCCCCAGATGACTCTCTCCTCACGTTTTACTTGGTCATAGCAGTGGCTGTGGTTTCCTGCTTGTTCTTTGCCTTCATCGTCCTTCTGCTGGCTCTCAGACTGAGAAGGTGGTGGATGCTGCAAGTTGTGCAGTCTGCAGGTGACCATGTGGGGGGTCCCTCCTCTCAGTTTTTGGGAATAGATGGAGTGAGAGCTTTCCTTCAGACCTATTCCCATGAGGTTTCTCTCACCACGGATTCTCGGAAGAGTCAGTTAATCTTTCCTCAGACCAACTATGCAGACACCCTCATAAATCAGCAGAGCTGTGAAAAAAAGGTACCTCTACTAACATCAAGAAATGTCGGTACAAATAAAGATCAGTCAGCCTCTTTTCAGGTAGGTCCTTTTTAATAAGATCGTTTTTTAACTTTTAGCTTTTATTTAATTTCTCTTTAACATATGAAAACATTTGTCCCTTGTTTCTATATGCTGTTAACAAATTTCACATTCTTGGAAAAACATAGGTTGAAATGATAGGTACTGGCTATGGGATCTCCGTAGTGCATGAAACTCCCTAGCAAAGAAACTATCTTTTCCATTGCAAGTGGGGGCAGATTATCTGCTCTTCATAGCCTTAGAGAGCTGCCTTCAGAACTGAGATGATAAAAGATTTGCCCAGAGTCACACAGTCCGTAAGTCAGAGGTAGCCCTTGAATCCAGGTGTTCATGACTTCCAAGATGTCTCTGTATCCAATATTGTCCTGCAATGACTCTCAAAGTCTAAGAAAATTGAAACTTCCCAATGGCTTGCAAGTGATCCCCACGTTTTGCCTTGTCCAAAGCATTCAGAGTGCACACAGAGTGTCTACTCTTCACAATTTTGAGGGGTAGGGTGTGGGAGGGCGTACTAATACTAAAATTTGATAGTCACGTTATTCACTCTCCATAAAAACTTTGTGAAAAGTTTGTAAATTCACACAATGCCTAGCAAATCTGATGTTAAATACAAGTAGAATTCATGTAATTGTAAAAGGCAACATTCCGTGTTTCAGTATCTTCACTCTGAGTAATTTTTTGTGTGTGTCATTCAAAGTTCTGGAAATTAACTAAAATGCAATTCTTAGTCTTTTTAGTATGCAGTATGAATTTGTTGATTTATAAGATAGAAACATGAACAGAAACTATAAAAATCCTAGAAAGTTTCTTTTCTGTACTACTACTGATATGAAATAAACATCATATAACCTTTTCAACTCTATTTCTACTTATTCAACTAAACTACTTAATTGGCTAAAAAAGCAGCACTTTCAAAGGCTGGTTTTAGTAGATAAATTTTTGAAGCATATAATATGTAATTTTCAAAATTAGATTTGCTCTTCAGGTGGAGGTGGAGAAGGAAGTGGGGATGGGAGTGGAGGAGAAGGCTCAATAATTTCCATGAGATTCTTATTAGACTCTTCATTGTGACAGTTTTGACAGTGGGTTAAATACATAGTCAAATATGTAGCTTAATCAAATACGTAGTTTTCTAGTAACATGTTGTATATCTATGTACATAATTTACATACATACCATATGTAAATATATGCTTTATACATTGTATATAGTGAAATATATACAGGTCCTCAATCTCCATTGATGTAAAGAACAAGTGAAATCATCTACATTAAGCACTTTGCAAAAGTCAAAAGTTCTATTCGTTTCAGTTATCGTTATACCTAATAACACTTTTTGTTTCTATATTGCTTTACTAACTGATGATGCCTCTTTAATAGAATTATTAAGTATATATTGGGACACAAATCCTGCTTTAGAATTTATGTCTTCTTTTTATAAGTTTCAGTTATTAAGTCTGTAATTTCTTGATGCACTTAGAATAAAAGGATTTTAGTTTTCTTTATTAAAAGAATTTAAAGGAATCAGTGAGATCCTGAAAAGGTTAAGAATTCTTTTTTCCTCCAGTATTTTTGTTAGGCAGTTGGGGTTAAGTGACTTGTCCAGGGTCACACAGCTAGTAAGTATCAAGTGTTTGGTCTGAGGCCGGATTTGAACTCAGGTACTCCTGACTTCAGGGCCGGTTCTTTATCCACTGCGCCACCTAGCTGCCCCTCCTCCAGTATTTTTGAAAGAGGAAAAGTCAGACTTTGTTCCATTACTTCAGATATAGTAGTGATTATAGCATTCGGTACTGACTTTTTATAAGGAATTGCATAGAAACTTTCCATACAACAGTCATCAGGGGCAAAGTAAAATGATGTATTCTTAAGTGGCTCCTCCACTTTCTACTTCAAATTTGTTTGGCTTATGTCAGAAGATAACAGATTTATTTCTTTTTTTTATTTCCTAAGGTTTTTTTCATCATTGATTTTAATTCTGTTTGAAAAGATCACTGATAAATTTCATAGAACAATGATTCATTCTTGTCTATAAGAATGTGGTTGAAATTCAGATACAGCATGTTCCTGTGAGAGGGAAATGGGGCAAAAACATGATAAAAATGTGTATCAAAAAAATGTAGATTAGTCACTTTTAGAGAATAGGATAACAGGACCAAGGCGTTCGTTGGTTCCAGTGTAATATTAAAAGTCATAAAGCATGATATGGATAACTGTTGGATAACCGTTGGATAACCGTTCTTGAGTGTATTTCTAGAAGAATATAGATGCTGTAAAATGAAAAAACTGTGGCTAGATTGCCATCTGCACTGTGGAAAGGAGTCCACAATCAATGAGATCATGCATGTGTCAGAGTACGAAGATGATTAATCTATTTTCCAGTTAGAAAAGAAATAAGTAGTTAGCATATTATCTGGAGTGAACTTTTGATAAAAGAGAAAGCGAGTGAATTAGCTAGTTGGCACCATGAGTAAACATTGGAAAAATAACAAAATACACCTGAAATGAACACGTGTAAGTTGGATGATAGGAATTTTGCAGAAACCCTGCTTAGCACCTTAGGCACCTTTGCCCCACTGCCACTGAATATAAATAATTTTTTATAAGAAGAAAACTAACTTTAGAATTTTTGAAGCAGTATTAAATGAAACTGGTATTACATTAACAATAATAAAGTTGCATAGGTGAGTTGCCTATTTGCTCTATGTGGCAAATTTTGTAGTTTACATTTGTACATTTTAAATCAAGTGAAACATTATTATTGGAAAGAATAGAAAACTGGACTGATTCAAGGAGATATGCTTGAGGTGGGGTTAGAATGGGCGACCAGCAATATTTCATTCTTTGTATTATATAAAGGATGCTGAGATAGGTACAGTTCTCCATATGAGCCTCTGGGTGCCGCTGTCTACTTATGGCGCGTCTGAGCCAGGTTAGCGCTCTCTGTAAGAGGCTGCAGAATAATTCCAGCAGTCATAACGAGCCAGCAAGGGAACCCATAACGCATTCATTTCCAGAACGCTGATCTCCAAGGATTCCCTGGAAACACTTACATTCTTAAGAATCCAGAAACAGTACGGTCTCTGGTGACCTGAACACAGGTTTCGGGGATCTTAGAAGTAGGAGGATTTGAGAGATGGAAAGGAGTGAGGAGAAGAAGGGCTGGGCCCTGAGGCTGCAGGTACTGTTTCCCTTCTTGGTATCTTTGTTCAACCTCGCGGTTTCTGAACAGATCCGGTTCCATTCCAGAGGAAATGGAGAAAGGGTCAGTGGTGGGGAACCTCGCCAAAGATCTGGGGCTTAGTATCCGGGACTTGCCAACTCGGAAACTGCGGGTTAGTTCAGAGAATGAATACTTTACTGTGAGCGCAGAGAGTGGAGAATTACTGGTGAGAGGCAGAATAGAGAGAGAGGAAATATGCGGGGGCCAGTCTGAGTGTGCTCTGGAGTTCGAAACAGTCGCTGAAAATCCAATGAATATCTTCTTTGTAATTGTGACGATACAGGATATTAACGACAATCCACCACAATTCCTTAAAAACTATATTTCCCTAGAAATCAGTGAACTAACACTTCCAGGAGTGAAATTTGCTCTCGCATCAGCAAGAGATTCAGATGTAGGCATGAACTCCCTTAAAACATATCAGATCAGTCCTGATCCCTATTTCTCTCTATCAGTGAAGGAAAGACCAGATGGCAGTAAATACCCACAATTGCTTTTGGAAAAATCCCTGGATCGAGAAATTCAGAGTTCTCACCATTTGGTCCTGATTGCTGTAGACGGTGGGGAACCAGCCCAAAGCGGCATGGCTGAGATATGGATCAGCGTCACTGACGCCAATGATAATGCCCCAGTCTTTAGCCAAGATGTCTACAGCGTCAGTGTTCGGGAGAACTTGCCCCCGGGCTCCTCACTGCTCAGTGTGACTGCCACTGACAAGGATGAGGGGATCAATACAGAAATCACCCTCTCTTTCTGCAACGAGGACAATAACAGGCTATTGTTCTACCTCCACCCCAACAGCGGGGAAATTACAACTAAAGATATATTGGACTTTGAAGAAACAAATAGATATATGATGGATGTTGAAGCAAAGGACGGAGGAGGTCACACAGCACACTGTAACATTCAAATTGAAATTTTCGATGAAAATGACAATGTCCCAGAGATGAACTTCGTCTCACTCTTTGATCAAATTCCAGAAGACTCTTTGCCTGGAACTGTTATTGCACTCATTAAAACACATGACCAAGATTCAAAGGAAAATGGTCAGGTCTCATGTCATATCCAAGAAAATTTTCCTTTCAAGTTAGAGTCTTCTTCTAGAAATTATTACAAGCTGTTGACTGATGGACCTCTGGACCATGAGCAAACTCCAAAGTATAACATCACTGTGACAGCCATAGACAAGGGAAACCCGCCTCTGTCCACCAGCAAAATCTTCACCTTGCACATTGCAGACGTTAATGACAATCCCCCAGTTTTCCTCCAACCTTCCTATGTCGCTTACGTTTCTGAAAATAACCCTTCTGGTTCCTCCATAACCAAGGTCTTGGCAGAGGACCCTGACCTTGAGCAGAACGGCCGCGTGTCCTACTCCATCGTGAGCAGTGACCTGGCCCCGCTCACTCTATTCTTCTACGTTTCTGTCAATGGACATAGTGGGGACGTTTTTGCACAGCGTCCTTCGACTATGAACAGGTCCGCACTTTTGAATTGACACTGCAGGCCCAAGACTCTGGGTCCCCTGCTCTGACAGCTAATGTCAGCCTGAGAGTGTTCATCGTGGACTGCAATGACAATGCTCCAAACATCCTTTACCCAGCTCTGGCATCTGACAACTCGGCCCTTTTTGACATGGTCCCTACACTGGCCGAGCCTGGTTACCTGGTCACCAAGGTGGTGGCAGTGGACGCTGACTCGGGACACAATGCCTGGCTGGCCTACTACGTGCTGCAGGCTACAGATCCAGGGCTCTTGAGTCTAGGGCTTCGCACAGGCGAGGTAAGGATCACCAGGGCTTTGGCTGATGAAGATGCAGCTCTGCACCGGCTTCCGGTCTCCGTGCAGGATGGTGGACAGCCCCGTTGTCAGCCACTGTGGTTTTGCACTTGATCTTTGCAGACAGCATGCAGGAAGCGCTACCCGAAATGAGGGAGGAGCGCTCAGATATCCTGAATCCCCAGTCTGAGCTACAGTTTTACCTAGTAATAGCTTTGTCCCTAATTTCTATGTTGTTCCTCATGACAGTGACACTTACCATCACCCTGCATCTTCGGAGATCTTGCAATACTGACATGTTGAGCTGTATCCATGTGGATGTTTGCTCTAAGGCTAAACCTGATTTCCCCTCAAACTACAGTGAAGGAACTTTACCATATTCTTACAATCTGTGTGTGGCCTCAGAATCAGGAAAGATGGAACATAATTTTCTCAGATTTACTGCAGAAATGGCACCTCCCCAGAATCTCCTTCTTAATGATAACTCTGAGGTCCTAAATAACCCTAATGGAGAACTCAAGGTCACATCTGATTTGGTCACTTCTCATGTAAGTTTTTGCAACCACTTTTTGCCTTTTTGCCCAGCAACTCCATTGTGCATTAGTTCTTAAAATTATCATGTTTTCTCTGTATTTGGGGGTTTGTTTTCAACATTGTCTATCTCTTCTAATTTATCAGACAGCATTCTCTGGGTAAACAAATAATATTTATATTTGGAGCATCTTAATTCTGCCTGGTGATACTTTCTCAGTTTTGAGTAAAGTAAAGAGTTCCTCTGATAATCTGCGATCTTCACTTTTATATATGACCATTCACATTTGCCATGAACTTAAGTTATTGGAATAGCCAAATGAGAAAAATATACTTTCCAACCAAAGAATTTCATAATTTAAATTAAGTAAAAGGATATTTCAATCATCAGCTAGCAAAGTTTTCTTTTAAGTTTTTTAAATTGTTATCATACTCATCCTTTAAAAAAAATGCCTCTTCTTTGAAAAACTTGGTTCTAGTTTAGAGGGCCAAAACAGTCTAAGGTATTCAGCAAATAGTGATCATTAAGTTACTAAGGCAAATGTATAAAGGTGTACTAATTATTTATGTTCTGGCCAAAGTTTGTTTAAATTAAACATAATGATTAAAATGTTAATAAAATATGCCTATATCTTAATTCAAAATCCCAGACTCCAGGAATTCTGCATACTTGAATATATTTTCCCATACACAGATCTTTGGTGTGTAAAAACCTTTGTCTCATGCATACACAGGGCCAGAATGATTACTAATATAAATTATGCAAAGACTGACAGATGTGAGACTTTCCTTTTTTCAGTAGTTCGAGATATTCCATTGATTCATAGATGATTATTGCTATTTGTTTCTACTGTAAGAATGGAGTTGAAATGACCCCCACCCCATTCTACCTCTGATACCTCAACTAGGTTTGAACACTTATGAATCAATCAATAAAAAGACCTTAGACAAAGTGTGAAAAGTCCTTGAAAGCCATTGAATGAAATGAAATGACACAAGAAAGGAACTCTGTTCTGATTATCTGGGAAACTAGTAGTTCTCCAGGAATCAGATATAAATTGTCAAAGAATAGAGAAGGGAGAGAAACTACATAAAATGAAGCAAGTGTAGCTCTCTAGCACATCCGTAAGAAAGAATAGTCTTGGAAGAGCGGGGGTAGAAAAGTCTTAACTTTGACCTTGTCTAGGTCTACCTCCTCCTTGCTCCCTTGCCCTCCTTTACTGGTGGTCTTTGCACCTTCAAAAGGTGCAAAACAAAAAAAAAACAGCATACCCAACCAGTTGATACCAGTGTCTGCATCAGGAGCCGAGCAAAAACTAGAACCACAGGATTCATTATACAAGAAGCCCAGCAAAGAAACACACCATGTCTAAGGGGAAATTATTGAGCATCATAGGAATGGGAGAAAAGGATTTGAGCCTACTTTTCCTGGAATCTATGTGTAGGAGAATATATCATAGACTGGTGTGGGGAGGATGTTTTGTACCAACTATTCATACTTATGTATCACCTTAGTAAATGTCCCTTTCTGAAAGCTACTTAAGGCTGGGTGACTAAATTAATTATCAACTGAAAACTTGGTGGGGTGGGGGAGCATACTGGTGGGGACTTCAAGCAATAATATTGGAAAATTATCCCTGTGCCTAGGGGTACCTCTATAATCCTGAGGGAGAGTTGTAGCTTAGGTCTGGAGTCCAACTCTTAAAAGGAAATAAAGAGTTGGAATAAAGAGTCCCCAGAGCTTACATGGGATATAGTGTGTGTGTGTGTGTATACATATATGTACATATGTGTATATGTGTGTGTATGTATGTGTACCTATCTATCTATCTATCTATCTATCTATCTATCTATCTATCTGTCTATCTATCTATACATACATAAGCTTTATTAATGGATAACCCAGAAAGGTAGATAACCATTAAGTAATGCTTATTTTCATTGGTCAACCAACAACTCAGAATAACTCTCTTACTGAAAGTTAAAGGGCCAACAGTTGTAACAAGTTAGAAAGCCACCAATATCTAGCTCACAAAGCCTGAGTGGCTTGTTCTTGACTTAAATGCTTCTCCAACTTGGTAGAAAGGAGAAAAAAAAGAATTCACTTTATGTCCTGGAATTACTAATAGTCTAATATTGGAAATAGAGATCCACAATGGCAAAACAGGATACAGTAAAGAAAATGGGAAAGGAGCATGAATGCTTTTCACACCATTATTTTGAAAAATCCTCATTAAAAAATAAATTCTTTATTTAGAATATTTAAAAATGACATAAATATGATAAAATCTATAAGGAATACCTGCTTTGGATCAATGCTCTCTGTAGTTCTCAAGAAAAACTAAATGAAGCAGATATATCCTTTAGATATGTTTCCCCAAAATGGGAATTAATTGGAATTCAAGCGTTTTATACTTTCTATGCTTTGCCGATAATGCAATAATTGGTTAGGACTCTGGGTGCCGCTGTTCACTAATCAGGGAGAGAAATCCAGCCAGATCTTCCAGACTCCCAACCGACAAAGCCATTAAGTTGCTCAGGCGCACAAAGAAAAGGCTGTTCAGAAACACAAGTCCACCAGCAGAACTGAATCAGCCAGAAAACACCCCAAGATACATAAACTGTGATGACTGCCAATCTCCAGGGATTTAGAAGACTTAAGAACTGATCCAGAGAGAGCTATTGGAAGAATAAGCAGAAGAAATATCTGCAGCAAGATAACAATGGCAGCTCCGCAGAGACGTCTGGGCAGCAGTATCCTGCTTTGCTTTCTCCTGGGAATTCTGTGGGAGGCGAGGGCCGGGCAGATCCGCTACTCAGTGCGAGAAGAGATGGAGGAGGGTGCCTTCGTGGGTGACATCGCCAAGGACCTGGGGCTGGAACCGCGGGAACTGTTGGATCAAGGAGCTCGCATTGTCTCCAGAGGTAAGAAGCAGCATTTCGCTCTCAATATCAGAACTGGCAGCTTAGTCACGGCAGACAGAATAGACAGGGAGAGGTTGTGTGGGAGAATATCTGTGTGCATTGTAAACATAGAGATTCTGCTAGAGGACAAAGTGAAAATTTATGGAGTAGAAGTGGAAATAACTGATGTTAATGATAACATCCCTAGCTTTGGGACAGAAGAAAGGGAAATCAAAATCAGCGAAAGCGCAATACCAGGAACAAGATATCCCCTTCCAGAAGCCTTTGATCTAGATGTAGGGGTGAATTCACTGCAAAAATACAAATTGAGCTCCAACCATCACTTCTCTCTGCATGTACAAAACGGAAGAGATGATGCCAAGTACCCTGAGCTGGTGCTGGAGCGGGCCCTGGACAGGGAGGAGGAACCTGTCTATCACCTTATCCTCACTGCCTTTGACGGAGGAAGTCCGGCTGGTTCTGCCACCGTGCGCATTCTCGTGACCGTCCTTGATGTAAATGACAACGCGCCAGAGTTTACTCAGTCCCAGTACAGCGTGAGTGTTCCTGAGAACGTGCCAGTGAGAACATGTCTGCTTAGGGTGAATGCCACAGACCCGGACGAGGGAATGAATGGAGATGTATCTTATTATTTCCGGAAAATTACTGAGAAAACCTCGCAACTATTCGAACTGAATGCTTTGACTGGGGATATAACAGTATTGGAAAATCTAGATTATGAGGAATGCAATTTCTATGAGATAGATATTGAAGCCCGAGATGGGGCTGGACTTCTGGCCAGAGCCAAGGTTCTGGTCGAAATACTGGATGTAAATGACAATGCTCCCGATGTCACCATCACCTCCGTTACCAGTTCGATCTCTGAAAATTCTTCAGCAGGGTCGGTAATTGCCCTTTTCAATGTGCATGACAGAGATTCTGGGGAAAATGGCCAGGTCACATGGTCCATCCCAGAACACCTGCCTTTCAAACTTGAAAAGTCCTATGGAAATTACTATAGTTTGGTGACCGACAGAGCCCTAGATCGGGAGCAAATCTCCATTTACAACGTCACCGTGACAGCCGCAGATGGAGGGAATCCCCCTCTATCCAGTGACACTCACATCTCCCTGCACATAGAAGACACCAACGACAACTCCCCGCTTTTTGTCCAGACATCCTACTCAGCCTTTGTCATGGAGAACAATCCCAGAGGCACTTCCATTTACTCACTGACTGCTCATGACTCCGACATTGGGGAGAATGGACACATCACTTATTCCATTGCAGATGACTCAGTACTCGGTGCACCCCTCTCCTCCTATGTTTCCATTAACTCTGAAACTGGCGTCCTTTACGCTCTGCGTTCCTTTGATTATGAACAGTTCCGGGAATTGAAGCTAGGAGTGACAGCCAAGGACTCTGGGGACCCTCCTCTCAGCACCAATGTGTCCCTGACTCTGTTCATCCTGGATCAGAATGACAATGCCCCAGAAATCCTGTACCCCGCCTTCCCCACGGATGGCTCCAGTGGAGTGGAGCTGGCCCCACGCTCGGCAGAGCCAGGCTACCTGGTGACCAAGGTGGTGGCAGTGGATTCAGACTCTGGTCAGAATGCCTGGCTGTCCTACCGCCTACTCAAGGGCACAGAGCCTGGGCTCTTCTCCGTGGGTCTGCACTCAGGGGAGATCAGGACTGTCCGGACATTCCTGGACAAAGA